ATTCTTCTGCAGATACTTCTTAAGGCTGAGTCCTCTTGTCTACATGGTGTGCTTTGTCAGGAGTTTACAGTTGTCATGAGTTTGTCATGGTTGAGTTGATGTCAATTCCTCCTTGCCCTGTGCACAGACTGCAGTGCTCTCCCCGTTCACACTCATGAGTGCCACTTGCCATCTCTCCATGAGAAGGCGCCTTTCGACAGCCTTTCTTGACCCTAGTTGGGCCATTTTTCAGATGTCACACTATGCCTGATGTATCCTGACCTCTGACCCTTTTGTGTGACCTTTACTTCTAGAAGCTTTGGAGACTGGTTTTAAGTCCTATGGGTCAGAAGTCTCACCTCATGGTAGTTCAGGTCCTTTCCAGTTCTTTAGGGCATTGAGGTGTACCATCCATATAAGAGTCCACGGCCTTTGGTCCTGTTTTTCCAGATGGCTGCAAGCACCGTCCAGCTGCCTCAGCCCTCTCCTGTTGGGCTTTGTCCTCCAGTGTGCAGCCCTCTGCACTGATGCCTGTTCAAGGTTGTTTTTAATGTGCTGGCTGTACTTTTTGGACATGTCCTCAACTCAGCTCTGGCTGCTTTTGGGTATATATCATCTGAGCTCTCACACTTGGAAATCCTGAGATCCCTTTCCTACTCTTGACCGTCCTGTATTACAGCCTCTTTTTCCTCCCTGTTTCCTTTTTCCTTGAAGGTATTACTTATGGTCACTCAGAAGCTCTAGGCTGCCCCACAAAACCCCATGAGGTGAGTGGCTGCCCAGGCAGAAGTCAAGGGCAGGGGCTGAGCTCTGGCCACACAGGGACATGGAGGCAGTGCTGGGCGAAGGGTTGGCTACACAGGAGCGGGTACTGAAGGAGGCTCACATGTGTTACTGGGACAAAGGAGAGGATGGTACAGAGGAGATGGGGAGCTGATGCTTTGTGGGGCAGGAGAGTAGACACCATGTTCACTGGCAGGGCATCCCAGCTGAGAAGCCAAGAGTGTGTGGGTCTTATCTTAGCCAAGGGTCAAGTGACAGTGGCAGTGCAGGCCACATGGGGTACAGGCACACAGGGATAGTGGCCAGCGGTCTCCAGGGCTGGGGACTTTCTCTCTTCTACTAGGGGTGTAGCATCTTCTGAAGGATTTTTCTCCTGGACCTAGAGTTCCAGCTGGCAGTTATTGAGCATGATTCTACTGTCCACTGATTTCCATTCCTAAGAATTAGCTGTCATTCCTCTAGATGACATTATTTTTTCCTTCTTTTTACAAACATTAAGGGACTGAGCATTAGCTCAGTGATAGGGTGGGTACTGAATACACACAAGACCCCTGGGTTCAATCCCCAACACATGCGTGTGTACACACACACACACACACACACCCTAAAGTCAGTAAATAAGCATATGTCTATGCCACATGTACAGAGGAACCCTTAGGATGTCCTGTCATTGCAAGGTGGATCAAGCACTGCTGCCCCAGGGCCCTTGCTGTGAAGATCACATCTGCCTGTCTCCGTGGTCACACCACCCCAAATCATCCCAAGCACTATTGTTCATTTTTGTCTAGAACCTTTATGATACTCAAGATGTGCAGTTCAGACTCTTTCAGTCTAGCTTCTTTTAGTCCCCAAACCATAAAACAGGAGCCAAATGAGTACACAGAAAACTAGGGAGACCCGGGGAGACCGATGTCTAGGTAGGGCATCAGGATCCTATCCCGTCTTTGCTGCAGGCTATGGATGCACAGTGACTTTGTCCTTGAAGAAGCTGTGTTAGCTCTGTTCTGTTTTCAGCATACCTGGTGAGCCTTAGTATTGTAAAGTAAATTCTGTATTTGGAGGAATCCTTTATAGGTAGGAGTCCTTTAGTTCCTTTCAGTGGAAGGTCTGACCGACCTGGACCAGCTTAAGCTTACTCAATTTCCAGCCTGGTACTTGATCTCATTCTAGCTGCCAACCTTGCAGATCTTAGGAGCTCTGTGTGTGTGGAGAGGGGAGGTTATCCTCTTAGAAGTTAAGGAGTTTCTCTGAGATTTCTCAAGGAGAGAAACAGAAGAAATTTATTTCTAGCTTCTCAGAACCCAAGAGTGGGGTTTCTTGTATTTGTAGCATTTGTGACTCTGGCCAAATATCCAGTAAAGGCTGATACTGGCGTTCTGGGTCCTTGAGTCCTTTCCCCTGGACTGATCCAGGCTGGACTGACTACTGGTGTCAGTCTGTACTTAGTTTTGAGCAAAGCATTCTGCAGGGGAGAGGGGCTGTGTGGGGTGTGTTCTTCCTGAGAGGCTTTTCTGGAGTCCAAGCACCCTTGTTTTGTTTTGTAAGCCTCAGCTGCTTGTGGTGTCCAGTTGATTAGAAGGAAGAAGGTCATCAGAATATCTGTGCTCTATGCTCAGTAGCCATGTGGTCAGGGTCAGCCCTGTGGTTTAGGGTAGTACAGATGGAGAACACCCTGGATAGCAGGAAGCATTTCTCTGGCATTGATCTGGAGTCCACCCAGCCTTTGCCAGTGCTATAGATACCTGTGGTCTGACTCCCTGACTAACAGGCTCCGAAGATCATTCAGGGGGTGCCCTTGTGTCCTAGCAGCCCGTCTGCCAGCATTATGAGCCCATGGACTTCTCCCCACCAGTGGGGCTGTGTTCCCCAGCCCTAAAGTGGGTCTTGCCTCCTTGCTGCCCTGGCATTCTTTGTCCTTTCTTAGTGCTATCCCTGCTGTGTGTGGGTCCTGGAGGGTACCCTGGGAGCCACGGAAGCACTGTGTCTCAACTTGCAGAGTCCCTGAGGACATGAGGAGCCTTTGTCTTTCTTCCTTTGTTCTTCTCTCTTCTGTCACTCTAGAGAGACAGGGCTCATGTTTGCAGTATGTTGTAAATGTGCAGAGCTGTGAGGCAGAGGTCCACCTTCTTAGTACCACACTTTTGCCTGCAGTGACAGTTTGGGAACATCTGGAAGAGAGTTCTGTCAGGTTCAGGACAGTTTGTTGTGTGCCCCCTCCTGGATGAGAGGCTGGACTCACTGGAAGCCACATTTCTTTGGTAGCTCTTGTCTGTTTGAAAATCCCACTAGTCACCTGGTAGGCCCGTTTGACTACCCACTTCTTCCTGTGTCTCACAATGGCCTCAGATGTTTCCTTGTTTTCCTAGACCATGATCAGTGTCTTTCCTGGGGGTCTAGCTAACTGTCTGCGAGGGCTTCTGCTTGTGCTGGGCCAGTGCCCCAAATTTTCAGGCAGGCCTTGTTCCCTCACCTCCGAGGTACAGGTCTGTCCAAATGCCTGGCTTATCTGGGGTGTGGAGCCTGAGCTGGCCAGTGGCCGTGCACTCAGTCTGCTATGGGCACACCCCATTGTTTTCTCACTATGATTTTTGGGTGGCCCAGAAGGAGCAGTTTGTGCTCTTTGCAGGCAGAGCTTTGCTTCCCCTGCAGAGGGCAGCCTCGCCTCCAACCCCAGGCCTGGCCTCATCAGCTCTGCCTGGCTTATGCTCTTTTTCCCTTGCTTAAGTTAAAATTAGCTTCTGTAAGATTCTGGTTTTACTTTGGCCTCAAATTTGGCAGCTTGACCTTGGCTTTGAATTTTTGTGTTTAAAATCAACCTTGTTTCTTCCACCCTGTTTCTACCTTAGTGGTCTGATTGTTCAGATCTATAACCACTTATCCTTTGGCCTACAGATCCAGACCATGAAGCACAACTCCTGAAATAACCCTCTCCATAACCTCTTGGTCTTCTCAGAGCCACTTACAAGTGACTACAGTGTGTGACTATACCTGGCTCTCCACACACCCTAGCCTAGGCCTGTGTAAAAAATCCCTTGCTTAGTTGAGCTAGTTGTGTTTTTTAATTGCTGACAGTAAAACAGTAATATTTCTACCATATTTCATAGTAAGTATTTGACTTGTATATTGAACATTAGCTCTTCACTAGTCTAAGAAGTTAGCTGTGTCCCCTGTAGAGAGAGTTCAGCTGCCAGCATCTGATTGCTTTTGGCATGTAGCTGGCTTTAAGTTGAGGACTTTACTCTGCACACCTGCTAGTTCATTACTTCACTAGAAAAGTTAGAAATATCTCCAACATTCTTATTGCTGGAAATTAGGTTTTGCTCTTTTTACTTTCTGTTAATTTAGTTTGTCTTTTTTGAGGCAAGGTCTTGCTAAACAGTTCAGGCTGGCCTTGAACTCACTTTGTAGCCCAGGCTGGTGTTGAATTTTGAGCAATCCTCCTGCCTCAGGCTCCCAAGTGCTGGCATTACAGAAGTGTGCCACCATGCTCAGCTTGATTTTTTTCTTTTTTTGAAACATTGAAATGGCTGGAGAGTCAGGCAGCAGAGTGATGAGCAAGGTTCTGCTTAGCTCTCTACATCCTCTCTCCTGAGGCCCCCTGCACCATACTTTGCCTTCTTGAAAGGTTAGCACTGTGAACACTTCCTGTTAGATTTAGGAATGGAATGTGGACTAGCAAAACTATTCTTCTTAAATTGCAACTTGATAGTAATAGAAAAACTGTCTATAGCTGGGTGTGGTAGTACATGCCTGTATTCCCAGCACTTGGGAGGTTGAGGCAGGAGGCAAGTTTGAGGCCAGCCTGGGCTACAAAGTGTGTTCAGGACCAGCCTAAACTGCATAGTGTGACCCTATCTCAAAGAGACAGAAAAAAAAAAAAAAATTATATCTTACATGCAGTCTTTGAAGATTCAGACATAGTTGGTCAGTATGTTTGTTTTGTTTTGTTTTTTTGTCTTTTTTTGAGACAGGGTCTCACTATGAAGTTCAGATTGGCCTTGAGCTCACTTTGTAGCCCAGGCTGGTCTCGAACTTGCATCAATCCTCCCGCCTAGCCTCCTGAGTGCTGGGATTACAGGTGTGTGCCACTACGCCCGGCACCCGTGGTTGGTTAGTAAAACAGTTCTAATGCCATGCATCAAATCTTTTTTTTCAAGTGTGGAAGATCTAAGTCTTTTCTTGTGGATGGGGCTGCAGCAATCACTCTCTAGACACCTGAACTGTTTCTGTGTTACTAGGCTGGAGCCAATATTGATACCTGCTCAGAAGACCAGCGGACTCCGCTGATGGAGGCTGCAGAGAACAACCATCTGGATGCAGTGAAGTACCTCATCAAGGCTGGGGCGCAGGTGGACCCCAAGGTATGCCCAACCCTGAGTTCACATGACTGTTTCCTGGGGAGATATTTCTCAGAAAGTTGAGCAGTTCTTCACTGGAGTACCTTCATATATTTCCCCAGAAGTAGTTCATCACCTTACATGTTGACCTTGTTTATTAGTAAAAACCTTTAGTGAGCACCTGGTCTACTATGCAGACAAGAGGCAAATCAACCCATATGGAGTTTGCTATACAGAAGCTTTTTGCTTTTTTCCTTCAAAGTACTTTCCCTCTTCTGTCATCTGCTCAGAGCAGTTAGGCAAGGAAAGAAATGGGAGCTAGGCATCATGGCACACACCTGCATTCCCATAATTCAAGAGTTCAAGGTCAGCCTGGACTATATAGTGACATCCTGTCTCTAAGTAAATAAATAAATAAATGGATGAATGTATGTTTAAGTAAATATTTTTTTAAAAAGAAAAATGGAAGGCATCCACATTGGAAAGGAAGAAATAAAGTCTTTATTCTAGATGACATAATCCTACACATTGAAAACCCTAAAGGATCCACAAAAATATTATTAGAGCTAATACATTAACTCGGCAAAGTAATACACGTCACAATCAATTATAGTTTTATATACTTGTTAAGAAAGGAAAATAAGAAAATTCATTTGCAGTAGCAGCAAAAATAATAAAATGCTTAGGAATACATTTAACTAAGGAGACAAATACGTATGTACATTCAAAACTACAAGCCGTTGCTGAAATTAAAGAAGTCACACGTAAGTGGAGCGACATCGATGTTTGCATATTAGATGGCTTAATATAGTTAAAATGAAAATACTGCCCAAAGCAATGTATGGGTGTCATGCAATCATCAAAATTCCCACAGCCATTTCTATAATTAGAGAAAAAGCCATCCCAACATTTGTATTGAGTTTCAGGGGACCTGGAGTACCCAAACAATTTTGCAAAAGAATAAAGTTGGAGAACTCACAGTTCCTGATTTCAAAACTTCCTACAAAGCTATAGTAGTGAAAACAATGTGATACAGGTATAAAGACAAAGACACAGGTGAAACAGAAGAGAAAACCCAGAAATAAACCATTTTAGCTGACTTCCACCAGAGCACGGAGACCTGGGAGGGGGCCAGCAGACAGTGCTGGGAATGTGCTGTGTCCACATGCACAAGAGTGTGGTCAGGCCTGCACCTTGTATCATGGGAGAGAGTTAGTGCAAAAATGGATCAAAGAACTGAATTTAAGAGCTATAAAACCCTTGGAAGAAAACTGCAAAGTCTCTTAACCTTTGATTTGGCAATGATTTCTTGGATATGACACCAAGAGCACAGACAATAAAAGTAGATAAACTGTATCAAAATGAAAAACTTGGTATCCAAAAGATACTATCATGGTAGTGAAAAGACAGCCCACAGAACGGAAAAAGTATTTGTAAATCCTATGTGTGATAAAGGGGTTCTATCCAGAATATATTAAGAAAGCCTGTAATTCAATAATAAAAACTGTTAAATAATCCAGTTAAAAAGGGGCAAAAGCTTTGGACAGACATTTCTCCAAAAAAGATATACATGTCATCAGTTAGATGCTTGATATTGTTAGTCACCAGGGAAATGCTGTCAGAGCCACAGTTAGGTATCAACTTCACACCTGCCTGGAAATGGGGAAGTAAATGTTGGCGAGGATGTGGAACAGTTGGGACCCTAGTACCTGGATGGTGTTACTCTCAATGGTGATGCCACTGTGAGGAACAGTTTGGTGGTTCCGCAAATCAATAAACAGTATTACTGTGTGCTTCAGTGATTCTACCCCATGCTATATACCCAAAGAAGTAAAAATAGGCATGAAGATTTTGAGTAGCAGTATTCATTGCAACAATGTTCACAAGAGCTGAAGAGGTAGAAACAACCCAAGTGTCTATCAGCAGGCAATAACATGTGACCAGTGCACACAGCGGGATATTGCTTTGTCATAGGAAGAAATGAAGCACTAAGTACAAGTGCTGCATACAAGGGAGCAGCCTTGAAGGCATGAAGACAAGGGCAGATGCAAAGGACACACACTTGGGTGAGGTATGGAACAGGTATAGCCTGTCCAGGGCTGAGAGGTGGGGCTGTGATTGCTTAATTGCTGGAGTTTTTGTTTGGGGGTTTTGAAAAAGTTTTGGAATTGTAATGATGGAAAATGTAATTAATGCTTTAAATTCTATCCTTAAATATGAACTGGGCGTGGTGGTGCACACCTGTCACCCCAGCATTTGGGAGGCTGAGGTAAGAGAATCACCATGAGTTCAAGGCCAGCCTGGGCTACATAGTGAACTCAAGGCCCATCTGAACTACATAGTGAGACCCTATCTCCAAAAACAGGAAAAAAAAAAGGACTACAATGGCAAATTTTGTTCTCTATTACCATAGTTTTTAAAAATGTAAAACATAGTATTTGGATGCGTAGTCCAGTGGTAAGCACTTGCCTGACAAGTATGATACCTTGGGCTCATCCCTGGTACCAGGGAAAGGTAAAAACACTGTTATACCAACAAAAAAATGACCATTACTCTCTATCCTAATTTCTTAACTCCTTTTTTCACATCAAATGAAGTTTTCATCATTTCTTGTGCATTAAATACACTTCACATGGTTTCATATGTGATAGCGCTTCAAATGGCTTCCTTGGTATTTTATATTATGGCATCTTTTTAAAGCCATATTTGTATATTAATATTTATTTTCCATTTTTGTTTTAAGCAGTGTTTCAGTAAACATTTTTATAGCTAAATGCTGGCACATGGTTGATTTCTTAACAGAATTACATCAAAATATTTCAAACAATTTCAAGGCTTTTTTTCTTTTTTCTTTACCCCCTCATAAAAGATGAGGTCTTTCATGTTGTTCAGGCTGGTTTTGAACTCCTGGGGTTAGGTGATCTTTGGTAAGGCTTTTTATACTACTCTTTATAAATTGTTCCAGGAATGTCTGAGCCTGCCCCTACCAATACTCTCTATTATGAGTCTTTTTTGAGTGTTAACAATTTGATATACAAATTGGGTATTTTCTTTACTATATCAATAATTGCTCCTTTTATAGTCAACTTTTTTTCAAGTTTGTATTTAGTCCCTTGATTTGGTTTTTGGTGGTTTTTAAGATATGGAAACCTTTAGCTTTTATATAAATAACTAAAGAACAATTAGCAATCCTTTTCATCCTGGTGGGTGGGCAGACTCCATGTTTGTGCCATCCCCTGGTTGCCCAACCTCATCATGGAGTACTGGAGCCCAAGCGGAAGTCAGGGACTGAGGATGTGGAGGCAGAGCTTAAGGTGCCCTGGAGCAGCTGGCATCTGCAGGGCATAGTCACAGGTGAGCTTTGAGGCAGATTGAACAAAGCAGAAGAAACTGGGAGGGTTGAAAATGAAAGCTCATCTATAGAAATTATTCAGTATGTGAAACAGATTTTAGGCCATTATCAACTTGTGTGATTAGAGCCTCAGAAGACAGGTGAGAGAAAACTCAGTAGACAAGTGGGAAATGATGGTCATACAGTCACCAAATTTGGAAAGAAAAACCCCAACAACCTACAGATCTAAGAAACTCAGCAAACCCCAGGCAAGATAAATGTAAAGAAGTTCATGCCTAAATGCATCATGTTTAAACTGTTGAAAACCCAAAGCAAAAAAAAACCTTAAGTATTGTGAGAGAAAAGCGGCATCACAGATAGGCAAGCAGTGCATTGAGGTCTGCACTGCTTCCTGCCCAAGGTGGCAGGCTTGCCACAGGAGGATGTTGTCATGCTGAAAGGAAGAGACGTGGAAAGAAGAGGACAGTGGAGCACTGTACCAGCCAGCCTGCCCTGAGCTCTGGGGGAGTGTGCCTGAGTATATGAGCAAACGGGTCAGACCCTGCAGCAGAGATGCTGGGCCTGAAAAGAAAACAGCCCTGTGGGAAAAGACAAGCAGCTATGTGCAGCAGGGATAACAAGATGAAGTTCATACAAATTCAAAAGTGTTTAATAGCAGTAGCACAAAGAAAGGCAGTGTGTATAAATAGAATCACTTTGTTATAAGGTATTTTTTGTGCAATGTTAATTTAAGTAGCCAGAGTTAAAAATGAATATTGTAATCTCTGGAAAAAGTACTAAGCAACTGCTTTATGGGAGAGAAAGCTAGAGGAAGTAAGAATATTAAAAAATAATTTGTGCAACTAAAATATAACAGATGAAGAATAAAAACAAATGGGGTAAGTAGAAGACAAGTGGCCGACTGGTGGGTTTGAACCTGCCCTGTCCACAGCTGTGGGTACAGACCGAGCTCTGTACTGGAAAGATAAGGGTTTGTCTGACTGGACAGAAAAGCAAGAACCAGCAGTATCCTCTGTGGTGCCATGCACCAACATGAAGACAGCACGGTAGGAGTAATGGCGGGACATGCACTGTGCACACAGTGAGTGAGGACTGGGTAAAAGGCAAAGGTGCAAAGCTTAGGAAGTAATGGGGAAGATTATCTTTGTGATTCTATGAAGAACTCCTCAGGCAAGACAAGAAAACAACCTGAAAGAAAAACAAGCAGAGAACATAAACGTGCAACCTACACAGGAGGAAACAATAAAAACAAAGCATGTGAAAAACGTTTAAAAACCTGACTGAAATACCATTTTAATCACTGAGTTATATAAAACTTACGGTGTTGGAAATACCTGGCAAGGTGTTGCCCCTTAGGCACATTCATTGTCAGATAGGTTGGTAGCTGACCTCTTGTGCTAGCGTCTCTCAAGTGGCCAACACTGGCAAGAGGGAACAGAGACATGGCAATATTCATTGTATTTTTAGACAACAAAAAGCCAGAAACAGCTCAATGTTCCTGAACCAAGAATGATTGTTACGTGTTATCTACAAGTATGATTCTCAAAAGCATCATGTGGAACTAAACATGTTCTCACATCTTACTACTTCATGGTTTCCTTGGCTATTCTGCTGCCCTGTGAGACCCCTCTCCTCCACTGCTGGGTACACAGGTCCCTAGCTTCTTGCCTGTGTGTCTACCTGCTGCAGGGTAGGATAGCTGACCCCACTGCATCTGCCACACATATTTCTGCTGCTTACACTTGAAACAGTCTCCAGTGTTGGCACTGAAAGCCAGTCACATGGGGATTTGATTTGCAGGCTGTCCTTGATAAAATTTTACACCCTGGTGGACATTAGTTGTATTAGATGCATGCTCAATTATATGTATTAAAATCTAGGGTCATGGCTCTGAGATAGCAAAAGAGAGAAAAACAGTGCAGTAGAACAAGGTCAGTAGAGAGATGGCAGCAGGGCCAGTAGGAGGAAAGGCAGAGTGTTCATGTGGCCCAGCCCTGGCTGTGGAGCCTCCAACCCAGCTGTTGCCACAAGGCCCACCTGGCTTCCCCTGGAGCTTATGAGTCTGACCTGTTCCTGTGTGTAGTTTTCTCTTTTGAGATGGTTCCACTAGTGTGATCTGTGTAGTGTCCTCGAGGAAACAGGTGAATAATGAGATGTGTCCAATAGCCAAAAGAAATGGAAACCAGCATACGGCAGGTCTGTTGGGCTGCAACGAGGACTTGGCCCTGTTTCCATCTGGATGACAACTGCTGAGCTGTTCATATGGTCTTAGTGCTCAGAGGGCCCAGTAGGAGCAGCTTACCTGGGTGGAAGCTGGGGTATCACCTGGCTGCCTGGCTCTGTGGTGGGAACAGGTGATTTTGTCAGGTGGTTCCTTAAGATGTGTGATAGCGGCATGGTCCTTACCACCTGGGCTTTGCCTTGTTGGGGTCAAAGGGCTTGGGTCTTGGCTGTACCCTGTGGCCCCTGTGCCCTGTGACAGGGCTCCATGCCCCAGCCTGGGCTTCTTTGTCAGGTGGGTCCCTGGTAACACAGCCTCCTGGCTGGAGCAGGAGTCTCTGTGGCCCTATGCTATGGGCCTAGATACAGGTGGCTCTGCGGGCTGAGCAGCATTTGTGTTGCAGGATGCAGAGGGCTCCACGTGTTTGCACTTGGCTGCCAAGAAAGGCCACTACGATGTGGTTCAGTACCTGCTGTCCAATGGACAGATGGATGTCAACTGCCAGGTAAAGCTATATCCTGTTAGGTGTGTCTGTCTCTGTGTCTTTGTGTCTTTGTCTGTCTCTCTCTCTGTCTCTGTCTCTGTCTCTCTCTCTCTCTCTCTCTGTTTCTCTCTCTCTCTCACACACACACACACACACGCGCGCACACACACACACACACAGAGTCGTCTCTCCTTCTGCAGTTGTCCTCTGCAGAGCCCCATTCATTTAGGTTCTTACAGGGCCTTATTCCTGTTGCCAATCTGCTTTGCAGGGAACCCCCAAACTGTCTAGCCAGCAGCTTCTCCCTTGAGTTCTGCCTGGGCCACTGTCTCTGTCAGACTCATTTTTAGTTGTCACCTTGGTGAGGTGTTCTAAACACTAGTGTCCATAATGGCTTGTACCCTTAGGCAGCCTGGCTTGTCCCCTGGGACTGGTTGTACCCTCACTGTATATTTAGTTTGTCTACTGATCTGTGTCCCCCACTTCACAGTTACAGGGCTGTTTTGCCCACATGGTGGTCTGTGGAGCTTCATCTGTGTCTCTACACAGCAGGTATTCACAGATGTCTGTCAAGTCTAGGACTGACCTGGCAAGGCCTGGTGTCAGAGCCGCTCAGCACACAGTGGCCCCTGTATGCTCAGCCCTGGGATGATCTCCATCTCCTTGGGAGGCTCTGTCCTTGCCTCTCAGCCCAGCACTGACCCCTCACCTGTGCTTTTTTTTTTTTTTTTTTTTTTTTTTTTTTTTTTTTTTTTTTTTTTTTTTGGTTTTTCTCCGGTACCGGGAACCGAACTCACGACCTTGCGCTTGCCAGGCAGGCGCTTTTGCCGCTGAGCTAAATCCCCAGCCCCTCACCTGTGCTTTTGTATGTTCCCCTCCCAGGTAGACCAGAAAGAGCAACCTGTGGCTGGGCCTTCTTCTAAAGTGTCCCTTATCGTGTTTAGTTTCATTGTCCTTCTCATATAGTCAGGTTTTCCCCTGTCCTGCATTTGCTGAGTCCCCCTTCCCAATCCCAGGTCCTAGGCAGTGCCAACAGTTGGCTTCAGGAAGATTGTCTTCATTTGCATTTCCAGAGAAATACAGACCATGGGCTGCAGGAAGCCCTTTTGGAGGTGTTGATTTGGAGGCTGAGTGTGCACTTCCCAACTAGGAATTGGCATCCTGATTTAGGTTCTGCAAGTGAAGCTGCCTAGTATTCAGTAGACTTGGGCACAGTGTTAGAAAGACAGCTCATGAGACCCTCTGTTGGTTCTGCAACCCCTTGTGCTACGGGCTTGCCCTCCAAGAAGAGGCAAGAACGTTCATCTCAGAGCTGGTGTCCATCTATTGGCCTGTCTAGTGCTGGAAGTCACACTGGGACCAAGAGGATAAGTGGAGGTTGCTGCTGTGTACACTTCCTGTCTCTAGGTACCTCCAGCCTGGTCAGTGTGCAAAGACAATCCAGTTCTCCGTTTCCAGGGTTCTCCTCACGTGCTGACTGGAGTGGCAGCCCTACTAGCAGAGTGCAGAGTGGCGGTGCTGGGGTGGTGCCCAGGGCTGTGCAGGCTGCTATGTTCTTGCATCACCTGGGGCAGTGCTCTGCAGATGCCTGGTGCCATCTCTCAGGTCCTGAGCAAGGTGTATGCAACATCCTGGAGACAACATTCTTGGGTAGTATGGTAGCTGTGTTTCCCTCTCTTCACTCAGGATGATGGCGGCTGGACACCCATGATCTGGGCCACTGAGTACAAGCATGTGGAACTTGTGAAGCTGCTGCTGTCCAAGGGCTCCGACATCAACATCCGGGATAATGTGAGTCTCATAGGAAGCCCCAGGGACAAGTCATTTGAGGGGTGGGCTAGAGTCATGTCTGGGCCACTGTTACTGCTGGCTGTGTCCATAGTTGCTACCTTGGAAGAGGTAAAGGAAGGCAAACAGACTGTGGTTTAATATATTACATTGAGCATTGATTTTTTTGGGTCCAAAGTCAGGAAACTGGACTTCTCAGTCCCTGTGGACATCCCCTTAGCTCGGCAGCAGGCACCTGTCTCACTTAGAAGGGAGTCTGTTTGGAGTCTTCCGGGGCTGGCAGTGTGGAATGGGTATGGCGAGGCAGCAGGATGTGAGCAGGATCTCTGCCTGATCTTAGTGGAAAAGGCACTGCAGTTAGAAAGTAGATTAAAACTTCAGGGTTGTTCATATATGCTTGTCTGGTTGGTATCAGGAAGGAAGGTTTGATACAATCTGAAAGCACTGCTGAGCATGCACCTGAGGCTGTGCTCTGTCTTTTGCCTATGAAACCTGGTGGTCATGGCTACAGGTCCTTCTCCCACCCAGAAGCCAAAGACCCTTCAGCCACTGTGCCAACACAGAATTCTTATTGGAGGGCAGTTCTGGGACCACTACTCTGCTGGAGAATGTGCCCTGGGTTGCATCCTCCACAGAAGTTTCTGCCTCATGCGATCAGAGCCCACTTTTGCAGCTCATTCCCTCAGCATCCATAGCAAAAGGGCCATGGCTAGAGGAGGAAAGGGGCTTTGAATAAGGAGAGGAGGGAAGCAGAGAGGAGTAGTAGACACTGCTCCCTGATGGAATCACAGTGCTGAAGGGCCACTGAAGTGCTGCCTCTCAGTCAGCTCTATGTTGCTTTAACAAATACCTGAGATAACTGATAAAGAGGAAAGTTTATTTAAAAAAAACTTTATAGGAACACCAAAGCAGGTCTTTATTTTAACAAGGGAGTCAGTGTATAGGAGAGAACCTGAAAAGTGGGTAGGGAGGTGTCTTGGTTACTTTTTTCTCGCTGCTGGGACAAAATACCTGACGCCCCAAATTAAGGAGGGAAAGGTTTATTTCGCTTACAGTTCGTGGAAGTTCAGTCCGTACTTGGCAGATTATAAGGCAGAGTGGCACATGGCAACAGCTCAGGACGGCAGAACACAGCTAAGCAACAACCACACACACCAGGGCGGAATGGCGGAGGAATGTCCTCAAGCACCCTTTTCCTCTCCCTTACATATGCAAACTATCCACCCCAGGGCGGGTGTAGCTCTCATACCCATAATAATCAAACTCTAAAAGCCTGCCCCGTGGTCGCATGAGGCTTTGGAGGGGACACACAGACATAAACCATAACAGGAGGGCTGCTTAAATAGCAACTACAGGCCAGTTGCAGTGAGGGACAGGACTGAAAGCTTGCTATGAATGTTGGGTATGCACATAAGGGGCCCAGATCCCTCCCTTCCTGAGCTTAACCACTCGAGGGTGCCCCACCCTTTTTCAGAAAGGCAGCAGATCCTTTGAAGTGGCAGAGTGGGCAGGGACCATGCTGCCTGAATGGCTGCACTCCTATTGGATTGGAGAGTGGTAGTTTGATAGGAAGGACACTGAAGCAAGTTGTCCCAATCTACTGCGGGGAGTCGGGTGGGGGATAAAGAGAGACGGGGGCCAGGGATGTGACAACCACTTGCTAAGCCATGTCCTCCATCCCACCTGCAAGGTTAAAATGAGAAAAATCATGCATGCCTCATCTGCCTCATTCCCCACTGAGAGATTTCATCCTCCTTAATCTTAAGGGGAGCCAAAGGGCCATCTTCCATAATGGCTTTGAAGCTGATCTAGGGCAGCTGACCCTGCGTACTGAAGGAATAAAAATGTCTTGCTAACTGCTCCAGTGATACATGTGCCTTGTAGCCGTTCTCTGGAATCACTAATTGGTAGCCTTGCATCATCGTCATCATCATCTTCTTCATCATCATCATCATCATCATCAGCTTAAGTTGGAATTTCTTCAGTCTGGAAGATTCAAACTTTGCCAACAGTTTAAAGATACAGGGTAGTGCAATTACCCCTAAAGGAGACCAGTGGAGCTGCTTTTCTGCCAGTGTCATCGCATTGACCCTCTGCAAGAGCAAGTGTCTGTTCTTAGTGCTTCTGGTCTAGAAACTACCTCTAAGACTGCATCTGGCCTTTGTCCAAGGACAGATGATTGCCAGTACCTCCCATACTTTGAAATTTTTCTCCACCATACTCTCCGATCAGGCTGTATTCTGTTGGTACAGAAACTTGACCTCAGAGGTGCCCCCATCTTGTACATCAGGGAACATTCTATCCAGAGACAAATCCACCCATCATGTGGATTCATGACTGCCCCACAAAATTCATAAGTCACCATAGTGCTGTAAGCTCCATTGACCCCTGGATTGGAATTAGCCAATCAATAGTCATTTCCATTTGTATTGTTCTTGCTAATGGAGCCCATAGTAGATGTGCTTCGAGTCCGGATACCTTCCTGAATATGAATGGTGGTCCATTAGCATTTCCAGAGTGTGAGTGCTTCAGAGTCCTCAGCAGATGTCCCTTGGCTGATGCCGTTTCTCCTGTTAAGCATTGTGGTCTGGAGACGTGTGGACCTACCGGCTACTTCAGCAGCCTTTTTAAGAATGTGTTTGTTCTCATCAGGAGCGCAGCATTGAGTTAATGCTGCTGTTAGTTTCATTCAACTTAATGAATCCATCCCTAAACTTCCCAGGATTCTTGAAAAAAACTGCCAAATCTTTCTTAACACTGAGCCATGTCTATTACCAAGAAGGGAACATGTATTCTGGTAATGCTTTCATCCCTAGCTGAAACTTTCTGTAATGGAATTCCCCTGAGTAAAATGGGGTGCTGGCCTGTTTTCTGATCTCAGTCCTGATAGAATTGATGGGGCAAGTAGTGGTTAAGGCCAAGGTGAAGAGGTTCTGCCTTGGTTGGAAACGAAGCTAGGGGATTTTGAAACTACAGCCACACAAATAGCCCCATGAAAACTTGTGTGTAAGGAATATCTTGCCACTTCCCTTCCCTTTAACAGAACAGATCTAGCCGTGGAATGGTATAATTCAGAGATCCATATTTGGCCAGTATTCTTGGTTTCCCCAGAAGACCAGCCTCTATTTTCCTTAAACCATCCTTCTTGCAGGATGTGGTGGCACACATCTGTAATCCCAACACTTGGGAGGCTGAGGCAGGGGATTATTCCAAGTTTGAAGTCAGCCTGGGCTACAAAGTGAGCTTAAGGCCAGCCTGAACTGCATAGCAAGACCCTCTCTCAAAAAGACAGGGAAAAAAGAAAAGAAAGAAAAAGAAAATATAGGTTCTTAAAATAGGTATAGGTGATCTTCTGGATTTGTGCAGGGTCCATTGTGATTTTACCCTTTTTGTTCCTAATTGTGTAGATTTGAGTCTTTTCTTTCCTTTTTTGATAAGGTTGTCTAAGGGTTTGTCCATTTTATTTAGTCTTTCAAAGACAAAACTTGGGGCTGGGGATTTAGCTCAGTGGCAAAAGTGCCTGCCTGGCAAGCGTAAGGTCGTGAGTTCAATTCCTGGTACTGGAAGAAAAGACAAAAAAAAAAAGACAAAACTCTTTGATTCATTGATTTGTTGTATTATTTTCTTAGTCTCCAGTGCATTAATGTCTGTTCTGATCTTTATAATTTCCTCGCTAGTATGAACTTTGGGCTTGGCCTGCTCTTCTTTTTCTAGAAGTTTGAGGTTCAACATGTTTATTTGTGCTTGCTCTGTTTTTCTGATATGGGTATTGTATCAGAATAGCATTTATCACTGCTATAAACTTCCCTCTTAGGACTGCTATCATTGTGTCTCATAAGTTCTGGTATGTTGTATTGTCATTATTTAATTGTTGAAACTGGGGGCTGGGGATTTAGCTCAGCAGCACAGCGCCTGCCTGGCGAGTGCAAGGTTGTGAGTTCAATTTCTGGTACCGGAAAAAAAAACAAAGAACAAACAAACAAAAATTGTTGAAACTAACTTCTTCTTTAATTTCATCTGTGACCCATTGGTTGTTCAGGAGGGTGTTATTTAGTTTCCATGTGTTTATGAAGTTCTTATGGTTTCTTTTGCCATTCATTTCCAATTTCATTGCACAGTGGTCTGATAATATACATGGGATAATTTTAGTTCTTTTGCATTTACTTAAGCATGTTCTATAAGCTAGTATGTGGTTTGTTTTAGAGAACGTCCCATGTGCAGCAGAAAAGAATGTTTATTTTGATGTGAGGTAGAACACTCTATAGACAGCTACAAAGTCCATTTGTTCAAAAGTTTGGTTCAGTTCTAATATTTCATTGTTGATATTTTATCTAGTTGATCTTTCTTTTTGTGACAGTGGGGTTTTGAGATCCCCCAGTATGATTGTACTAGTGCTTATTTGATTCTTTGTGTCCATTAATATTTGTTTTATATAGTTGGTGCAATGGTGTTCGTTGCATATATATTTATGATTGTTATCTCTTCCTCTTGGATTATTCCCTTTATAAAAATATAGTGACCTTTATCTTTCTTAATCAGTCTTGGCTTGAAATTAACTTTGTCTGCAAATAGAATAGCTTCCCCTGCTTTTTTCTTGGTTCCTGTGGCATGGAGTATTGTTTTCCATTCTTTGACTTTCAGGTTATGAATTTCCTTTTGGATTAAATGTTTCTTGTATGCAGCATGTCATTGGATCTTATTTCTTGATCCATTCTGCCAGTGTGTGTCTTTAATTGGTAAATTGAGACAAGTGGTTTTTTTGTTTTAAAGTCTCATGCTATGTGGTATGGGAAGGAGGAAATAGGGTCAAAAGATCCTTATCTTGTGGTAGAGGTATGTTAATATTTAGATTGGGATAGTAGGAAAAACTGGGTATAAAATTGGTGGTGAAACATAAAGATGGGAAAGGGCTAATATAAAATTAGAAAGTTAATTGGAGAGAAATGAAAGGAAAAGAAAAAAATAGAGAAAGGATAAGAAACAAAAAGTCAGGAAAAAGATAT